ACTTTCACAGCAAGAACCCCTGCTCCTCTGGCTCTTACAATTTTTCCTGGTTCTGTTTAAGACCTGGACAAATTGTATGTCTCTATTCACACATATGTATGTAACAATAATTAATGAAAAAGAGACCATGAATTTGAAAGCTAGCAGGAGGGTTTGGAGAAAAGGGAAAGGTAAATCATGTAATTACATTATAATCTTAAAGAAATAAAAATAAACACTTTAGCCATTTCTTCTGTTTATACATGTGAGTAAATTGCCCTCATTTAAAAAAAAAAATCAGGGCTGGAAACAGCTCAGTCAGTAAAGAGCTTGCCTCACCAGCATGGAGAGCCAAGTTCAACATTCAGGACTCACGTTTTAGAAAGCCAGCTTGGACTTCCAGCCAGTGGGCCCCCAGGGCTCGCTGGGCAGGCATTCTAGTCTATTTGGTAAGTTCCAGGCCACTGTCTCACATTTTAAAAAAGGAGCTGGCACCTGAGGGATGGATGACACCCAGGGCCACCCTCAGGCCTCCACATCCATTCACGTACGTGACTGCACACGTCCAACCTCCAACGTGGACCCACATTCCCATTCTTAAGTTTCCAATGAACTTTGTTGTTTTCATTACTTCTCCTGTTGCTGTAATAAAATCCCTGACAAAAGGGGGACACGGTGGCCCTTGCCTGTGATCCCAGCACTCGGGAAGCAGAGGCAGGCAGATTTCTGTGAATTTGAGGCCAGCCTGGTCTACAGAGCCAGTCCAGGACAGCCAAGGCTACACAGAGAAACCCTGTCTTGAAAAACCCAAAACCAAACCAAACAAATCCCTGACAAAAAGCAACTGGATCATAAATGAGGGTAAAGCCTTTCATGACAGGGAAGGTGTTTGTGTGTGTGTGTGGGAGAGAGAGGGAGGGAGGGAGAAGGCGAGCGAGCACCTGGTTATTAATTGGGTGCTCTTATAGAGCCTCCCTGGCCTCAAGCTGTTGAGCCTTCTGCTCCCACTTCCCAAACATTAGAATCAGGTGTATCGTCTATCACAGCCCATGCTCCCGTCCTCTTTACCTGCAAATGTGCTATTTGTCTTTAGAGTACACTGCAGAAAAGAGCTCTGAAAATACAGATCAAAAGCCGTTTGTAATTTCTCTTCTTGTCTCACAGAAAAACTCCCTTGACTTGGCTTTGAGGATATTATATCCCTGGCTTTCCAATCCAGACTACAAAGCAGAATGCTTAATCCTTCTCATGCCAAGGTTTCATAGGTTATGACTGAAAAATCTTTTAAGGCTACCTGCAGCCTACGGAATTAAGGCTAAGCCTTAGCTTGATGTCTAAGGCACCTCCACCATAGCTTTGCTGGCTTTTACTCTGTTATATGGTCTCTTTACTCCAAACATGATGGCATACTATCCTTCAAACACATCCTGTGTCACACCCCCACCGACTGTCCTAACTTCCTGCTGTTTTTCCAAGCCCATGACCTCTAGGCCATCTGTGGTCTCAGCTGCTCAGGAGACAAAGGGGAAGGACCACCAGAGCACAAAAGTTTGAGGCCAGGTTTGGCAACAAAATGAGAATGTTGCAGAAGTGTATCCCCCAAACTTAGAGGTGACTTCCTCCATGGTGCTGGCTCTACGTACCATCCCATACTTCCTACGTGCCAGCAGAGAAGGGACTAGCACAGCTTCTGCTCCGAGGACAAACCTGACTGTGGGTTGACTTTCAGCTTCATTTTTGAGAGAATGTAATGATGTACTCCTAGGCAAGATTGCCAAGTATGGGGGCTGGAGAGAAGGCTCAGTGGTTAAGAGCGCTGTCTGTTCTTCCACTGGACCCGGGTTCAACTCCCAGCACCCACATGGTAGCTCACAACTGTCCGTAAGCAGTCCAGGTGGTCTGACACCCTAACACCAGTGCACACAAAATAAAATTAAATAAATTAAAAAAAAAAAAAAAAAAAGATTGCCAATTATGTAAGCAATGAGCCTCAAATGGCAAATTATACCTATCCTGGGAGAAGTTACAGGTCCGAGGTGGGGCAAGTTGTCACTCGTAACTGGGGTTTACCTGCCTCTTGCTCTAAGAGACGTACACAGTTATGAGAGGCAACACTTGTGCATGAGGTGACTAGGCCAGGGTGGCTCTTGCACATGAGCAGAGTCTTTGGGAAGACAAATCCTGGGAAGTGGAAGTCCCACCATGAGGATTACTACCATTGGAGAAGCATTTGCCCAGCTGAGGTAAGCATCCCTCTGCCTTGGCTGCCCTCAAAGAACCATGATTTGGGATATATTAGCCAGATAAACCCTTTCCTCAGCAAGTGACTTTTGGGGCCTTCCTATAGCAGTAGCAAACCTGAGACAGCTGAGCTGGCAAGCTGTGTTCTGAGTAAGCCGGTGCTAAGTGATTTGTCAGGCTTGTGAATCTAAGTGCTGGAGTCGGATCAGGTTCCTTTGACAGCAGTCACATTACATAGGCCGCAGCCATTCAATCTGTGTTGTCTCAGCCCCTGAACACCTTTTGAGATTAAAATCTTGTCTTTTCCATCTAGCAAAGTCTGTTGCTATGCTATCTGAGCGAATCACTCAGCCTGGTCCTATTTTTTCATCTTTTATAGACATGCTCTCATACACCCATAATCCTAGTATCGAGGGGGCTGAAGCAGGATTGTTGAGTTTGTTATCAGTCTAGGCTGCATGTCAGATCAGACAGGCTACAGGAGACTCAATCTCAGAAAAAAAAAAAAAAAAAAAACCAAAACAAACCAAACAAACAAACAAAAAAAAAAAAAACCCACTTAAAATGCATAAAAAAATAAACCCCAAAACAAAACAAACAAATCCCAATTACAGTGTTCCCTATTTCCTTATACGAGAGCCCAGGAGAAATCATCTCTACATGTATACACATGTACACACACAGATCAATAAAAAAACTGGGGGGAAAAGCAACAAAATGTCAGCCTAAGTGTTAACTTCGGCCTCATCAAGCTGGCCCCAACACATCCCTAAAGGTCTTCATGCACACTGGTGTCCCAGAGACAGCACATGTAACAGTCCTATTCATCCCAACCCTTAAATCTAAAGTATCTGGTAGGGGTGACCTCCATATAAGCTGATTCGGTAGAGAACTGCCTCGCCCTATCTCCCAGCTTAGTCTGGTCATTTTTTTAACTGCTGATGCCTTGATTCATGTAAAATGCTTCAATACTACTCCTACTAAGTGTCCGTCACAACTCAGACACCTAGTTCTGTTTGGAGACAGGGTTTCTCTGTGTAGCCGTGGCTGTCCTGGACTCGCTTTGTAGACCAGAGATCCACCTGTCTCCCTATGTGCTGCGATTATAGGCACGCACCACCGTGTCCAGCTGACACCTAGCTTATTTAGGTAGTGACTTTTTTTTTTCTCCCAAGTTTTTATTGATCTGTGTTATTGAGTGTGCACTGGAGATCAGAGTACAACTTTTGGGAGTTGGTTTTCTTCTCTTACCACAGGTCCTGTGGATTGAACTCAGGTTGTCAGGTGTGGGAGCAAGTTCCTTTATCAGCTGAGTCACTTCACTGCCCATGCCATAAGTAACTTTTCTTCAAGGCAGAAATCAAACCCGCTTTACTTACGGAGAAGGCCAGCTATCCACTGTAATTATCTTTCCAACACTGGGATAGTGCAGTAATAGCTGGGCCAAACCACTAAGGTTTATTACAGAACTTACCTTAGAAGACTAATTTTTAAAAAATTATAAATTGGAAGGTCTGAGGATAACTGAAATCAGTTTGCTCCTTCCACCTTTATGGGGGTTATTCGGATCAAATTTGGATCACCTGTCTTTGCCTGCTGAGCAATCTTAACAGCACCCCAAAGGCCACTTTTGACCTGTTGTGTGACAATAGACATGGCTAAAACACCTTTTTCTTTCTAAATCCATCATAATCTACACACTGGAGAATGAAGGGTCCCACTCCCTGCAGATTTGCTCTATTTTACCTTAGAGCCAAGGTCACGCTAGAGAAACACAGTATCAGCTGAATGGACACTGACAAGCAGGGCCATCTGACTTAACTCTGCAGCTAGTTCTTTTGAGATTTTAAAAGTCAGGCTAATTCCTAGTGAACATCACTGCTAGAATTCTGTCAGGTACCCTAGTCTTAATTCTTTGCTACAGTGATACTTCCATTAAGACAAGGAGGGCTGGGGCTTACTGGTTATGACGCCAATGTGCAAGGCCTCAAGTTCATCCAGTACTGCAATAAACGAACACCAATTTCAGAAGTTGATTCTGCATAAAACAGAGTTAAGAGTCTAATGAAAAAGATAAGGTTAAAGAAAAAGAGGGAACATTAGGCCAGCCATGAGCCTCCCTGTAAACCATCAATCTCGCGGTATATGAAGATGCTTACTACCATGAAATAGACTTAGAAGTGTGCATGTACAAAATGACCGGAAGGACAGTGTGACGTGTTCAAGTCATGATGGAACCATCGTATTAAAAGATGACTTTGTTTTCGGGGGTCTCCCCTCACCTTAAGAGCTTCCACAGGATAGTGGACAGTTAGTATTCACTGCTGCAGACTCCCAGAAACTCTTACAAATGGTTCCCAACCTAGGATGGTGTGAAAGATGCACACTGTGTGTTTTGAGTGTGGTTTTCTTTCTAAGCTGATGACATCAGGTCTAAATCTCTAGCAATGCTAGGAAGCTGCAGTGAGGTTAGCTGCAGCCACCAGGCAGCCAGGAGAGGAAAGCTGGGTTCTAGTGTACTGTGTTTAGGTTGTGGTACTAAATGCATTTTTGACCTGGACTATTTCCAACTTGAAATGGGATGTATTCCCATTGTTGAGTTGGACTGAGATTTATTGATTGCTGGGAAAATGAGGCTTCTTAGTGTCAAATCACAGCAAACTCGGTCCAAACATATGAACCTTCAAGTTCTTCTGTAGCAGCCCACTGATTTTAAAACTGACAATGCTCTGCCAGACAATTCAATAATTAGAGAGGAAAAAAAACACTCAGTAAGAAAATACAACTACAGAACATTTCTTTATTTTTCTCTAAGACTTTCCCAGAGGACATAACTAACCTTGTCACCCCCCCCACACACACACGGGGGGTTAGTGCACTCGCTGCTATAAAGCAGGTATGAACAGTTTCAAGGACCAGAATCAACCTTAAATGGCAAAAACACTTTCTATTTGAATTATCAAAAAAATGTTTAGTAAAAAAAAAAAAAAAAGAAAGAAAGAAAGAAAGAAAGAAAGAAAGAAAGAAAGAAAGAAAGAAAAGGCGCAGAGGGGCAATGGCGGTTTCAGAATGAAAAGATCATTCACGTTTCATGTCTTACATTCAATCTTGGCTCTAGTGTAACAAAGTGGAAACAGGATTACTATCATACAAAATGTTCACTACAGCACACTGTATGCACCTGTTCCAAGCCCAGCCCAGCCCCCAATGCTTCCAAATCTCCTACTTCCCAGCCTGTTGGGCCTGTCGACGAAGGAGCACGTAGATCTTCTCTTTGATCCAGTCTTTGTTATAAGGCTGGTACGTCTGTGTATCAGCTCGGTAACTGAGGAACAGAAAGAAACATGCAGAGTTACAGTGGTCAGTTAGAGGTCCACAGAACTGCCTGGTGTGGCTTCAATATGCACAAGTACTGAATTAGAAGTGCACAATGCTGCTGTAACCACACCACCTAGTATAATCCTTGGGGTAAAGGACAAGGCCCACAGCTCATAAGCACTCAGTTTCACACTTATTGACCAAAACCATGTGTGCTTTCTCCCACAGCTTCTATTTTTATACAACTATTTTTATAGTCTTTTCAGTGAATACAAAAGCTAAACACTAGTACAAGCTTTAGATTTCCCAAAATTATTCTGAATCAACCAAGAAATCTCAATAGAATATTACTTCAACAATGATTTCCTGCTGATGTTTAAGGAACTCATAGTTTAAGATCTGCTTTTTAAAATAAAAACCAAAGGAAAGGCCTACAAAGGAAAATTTCAGAAAAACCTCTCTTTCAGAAGAGAAGGGTTGCAGGAAGACTAGCAGCAGCACAATTCTGCTGATGATGCAGGTTTCAGAGCCTGCATCACACCAAGCACCCCGCCAGTCAAGGCAGCTACAGGACTTGAACAGAGAAACTTTTCAGCTCGCCTAAAACCCAATCTAGTGGAGGAACGTATACTAAAGCTGCAGGATAGGGATGAAGAGACAGCTTTGTGAGTGGTTAAGAGCACTGGTTGCTTTTCCAGAGGACCTGGGTTTGATCCCTGGCACCTATATGGCAGATCACAAAGGTATATGACCCTGGGCACCAGGGGATCCAATGTTCTCTTCTGACTTCTGAAGGCACTGCATGCACACAGTACACAGACATACATGCAGGCGATACACTCATACACAGAAAATAACAAAACTGTTAGAAGTAGTCTGATGTGTGTTACTGGTCCTTAAGATCTGGTTACACCTTTTTTTGTTTTGTTTTGTAAATCTGCCTAAGACATATCGGATTGGTTGATTAAACAACCTATATATACCTGGGCAGGGCAAAATGTGGTAGGCTTGGCTAAGGTTCCTGGGCTTTTGGAGAGGAAGGAGGAGGATGCCATGCTGGTTAGCCTGGAGAAGATACCTCGTGGAGCCGGGAGGAAGAACTCCAATAATGGTGTGAAAAGGCCCAGATGAAAAATAAAAGCAAGTATTTAAAAGATTATGGATAGAAAATAGGATGGTTGAGGAGGATGCCATTGGATGGGGCAGGGAGATGGATGGTGAGGTGATTTAGACAGTGTAGGTAGGAAGATGTGCCCAGCCCAAGGCAAATAAGGCAATTATAAACTGAAACAGATGTCTGTGTCTTATTACTTGTGATAGCGGGTTAGATAATACTGCCGTGATATTCATAGGACTAATAAAATTATATAGCCCAACACCCATTTTATTTTTAATTTACTACAACACAAAACCAAAAACACTGTAGTATAAAAAGGCTGACAAAACACCAACTGTGGTGGTCCAGAATCCCAGCACTTTGAGGCAGGCAGATCTCTGTGAATGAGGCCAGCCTGGTCTACAGAGCAGGCTAGAATGGACAGCCAGGGCCACATGGAGAAACACTCTTTCAAAAACAAAACAAAACAACAAAAGACAAATCGTGGGGAGAGCTCAAAAGATTGCTCACTTTCTAGGCTCAATTCCCAACACCCACACGATAGCTCATATAAATCTGTAATTGCAGTCAGAGAATGATACTCTCTTCTGGCCTTTGAGAGCATCAGAAATGCATGCGGTAACCAGACATACACACAGGTCAGACATACATACAAATAAAAAAGGAACTAGATGATAAGTGATAGTATGTATTAAAATTAAAATTGTAGTGGTGACACACACCTTTAATTATAGCGCTTTGGAGGCAGTATAGCCAGGGCTACACAGAGAAACCCTGTCTCGAACCCCCCACCCCAAAGTTGTTATTAAGTTTGCAATATTATTTTAAGTATCTGAATTAGTTCATTGTCTTTTAAAAATAACACTCTTAGTAGCTATAATTATTTTTAAAAAGTGAGGAAATTAAGGCTCAGAGAGAAACAACTTACTAGCTAAGCGATGCTGGGCAATGTTCATTTTCTTCAGGTCATAAACCTTGTCATGTACTTTACACAGTACACTTAGACATTCAAGGCAGCAAAACGACTAAGCAAAAAATCTACATGCTATTTTGTTTCATGGTTCCAAAGACTAAATATGGGGCTTTGTGCCTGGTAAGCAAGCCGTCCACCCTGAGCTACACACACCCAAGGCCTCTCGTACGCTCTGAAACAGGATCTTACTAAGTTGTCTTAAACTTTCCATCCTCCTGCCTCACCCTCATGAGTAGTTGGGGTTACAAGCCTACATCTCCACAAGTAGGGCCAATTCCCAATAAGGTAAATAAACCCAAAGAAGAAATGCTTCAAGCAACAGTGAATTTTCGCCAAGTGATAAGGCCAGAGGCTGTATTACAAGCGCACAGGCTTCAAACATTGCCTATCCAAGCCCAGAGAAGCACAGTTCCTTACTAATGCTGCTTTACGGGAATTAGTTTAAAAAGTGAATCATTTTCTAGGAGCATCCTCTGTTCATATATCCTAATTAAGTAAGTCTCAACCTAGTCTATTTCAAGGTGTAGACTACAATACTATACTTACACCAGTACTACTGGCAATAAATTTTAAATACAACTACAGTAAGCATGTTAAAACCTCACACCAATGAAACCAAATAAGTTTACACAGGATAGGACTAAAATTAAATTTCAAGAAAGGAACTTTGGTTTTAATCTGAAAACAATTACTTTAGGAAAAAGACAGAAAAACCCAAGAAAAGGGACTATTAGGTTTAGGGCACAAACAATTTGGAGCTTTTAAATCAGCCTATCTTCACCCTACACTACGAGCTGGCCAACCTTCCTATGACTTTGGCTTTATATTATCGATTTAATTTTTGACCTATATGTAAGTGAAACAGCAGTAACTAGATAAATGGATTAAAAAAAAAAAGATATAGTGGCTAATACTTACACAAGACAGCTGAGATCTGCCAGATCGTCAATAAAATCAAACAACTGACTGATATCATATGTGATGGAGGGGCTGTTGGGATTCATTCTCTTCAGATGCTCTTCATACATTTTACAAACACCTACAGGGGGAGAGAACAAGAACTCATGAACACAAGTAGCACTATCTTGCTGGTAAATTTAGTTTAGGAAAATTGAGCTGTAAAAAGGACCGCTGGCTGGTCACTTTTGTTTCAATTTCTGCGACTAGAAATTCAAACTTAATTGAGCTTTATAATTAGAAGATTATTTCAAACCACTGGAACTGGAGGGCCATTAAGGGTTTGGGTTGGTCATCTGGGGAGAGTACTTGAACAAGGGCCTGTCTATGTTTGGTTCATTAGCAATGACCCTTTCCCAACAGTATTTTTCCCCCTCCCCTAAGACAGGGTCTCTCTACATGGCCCTGGCTATCCTGGAACTCAGAGATCCTCTTGCCCTTGCCTCCCAGGCTCTGGGATTAAAGGCGTGTGCTACCATGCCTGGCTTGTATTGTGTTTCTTTTTATCAGGTTTCCCAGCAAATCTTTCTAAAGTCAGAGAGCACACCACCACCACCACCACAATTTCCCATTTTACCTTCAAATTTTGATGCAATGGAAAGTCACAGTAACTGGCAATGAAGCTGGAGCTTATCCTAAGATGGCACTGAGGATCCTAGACATTGGGCTCATTAGAAACCCAGAAAGCCAGCCCACTTCTCACAAGACTGAGGACAAATGCCTCCACCTCGTAAGCTTTCCCTGGTAGACAGCAAATGCCTTTCCAGAGGGCTCTACAGGTCGTCTGAAATCATGCTTATATCACATGAGCACAAAGCAAAGCTCGTAAATCCTCCAAGACAGCAACACCAGGTGTGGCAGCCACACCTGCAACCCCAGCACCAGTTCAAGCTCATCCTCAGCCACAGTTTGACCAAAGCATACCATGAGACTCTTGTCTCCCAAAACTAAAACCAAAACTCCCAAATCATTAACAATTATCAACAGAATATTACCTGTTAATTTTCAGCCTGAAAAGCATTCTACAAACGGGGAGTTTACCTTTTTAGTCCCTTGCTACCACCAGCTACTCAAAGGTGTTAGCAATGTTAGTTACCTGTGGGCAACAGGCCTTATGCTGTAATACATAAGCCCCTAAGGCACCTCTAAATAAACCTCTTAAAGACTGGCAGCATGACGGGGGGGGGGGGGGGGGGGAGGGGGGATGGGTGGGTGGCTAATCCCAGCACTCAGGAGGTGGAGGCAAGTGGATCTCTTGAGTTTGAGGCCAGCCTGGTCTATACAGAGTTCCAGGACATCCAGGGCTACACAGAGAGACCCTGTCTCAGGGGGAAAAAAAAGGCCCCAAAAACAAAACAATAAAGGGGAGAACAAACAACCTACAACAACAGCAACAACAACAACAACAACAAATCCTTAAAATTCCCAGTGAAAGGCCACACTCAGTAACAGAAATAACAAGGTAACTATTTTACATGTTTTTGTGTGTCTACTTGTGTGGAGGTGAAATGCCATGTCTCCTTTCATCTGAGACAGGGTCTCTTCACTGGCCTGCAGCTTGCTCAGGCTAGGCAGCTAGTCGGTGGATCTACTTGTCTCTACACCTCAGCATTAGGATTGTAAGTGCAGGTTACCAGGTTTGGTTTACATGGCTTTTGGACTCTCACTCAATGCTGCTTATGTCTTTACTGACTAAGCTACCTGCCCCCTTTAATTGCTACAAGCACACTACATTGAAATCATATAACTGATAAAATAAAAAAGGAAGTGAAGCCCAATGACCTGTCATTGACGTCATGTTTAGTGACTATTCACAGACTATTCTTATCTGCTACCACCAGGAGGAAGAATGAGCATTTACTCAGCATTTCACTACAGGCTGTAGCCAGACAATGAGGCAAGAAGCTAACAGGCTTGTAGATCAGAGAGAAGGAAGTAAGCTGTCTCTATCTGCAAATGAGGTGATCTTGCAGACAGGAAGCCACCAAAACACCGTTAGAATTAATAAACGAGGTACCAAGGCTATAACATACAAGATCAATACATGAAGATCAGCCATATTTCTATATAATAATAAAAAATTACCTCCACATACAATGTAATAAAATAAAGCTCTTACCAATGAAGCAGACTTGTGGAGAGGGAGGGAGGGAAGGACATACAAGTAGATTTTCAAGGAAATGAAAGGGTTTGCAGATGGCGGTGGTAGGCTTGAACCTAGGGCTTCATGCATGCTAAACAAATGCTCTGCTACTGAGTGACACCTCTCAGTTACCTCCCCCACACCCGCCCCACCCAGTATCCAGTATTCAGCATCCCAGTATCCAGCTCAGGCTGCCCTGCAACTTAGCTCAGGCTGGCTTTCATACTCCTTTGGCCTCTGCCTCCTAAGTGCTAGAATTACATGATGGTAATAACCACTGCTCATCTTTTAAAATTTTAAAATGAAAGATAAACTACCATTTCTTTCCTTTTTTAAGAGGATGTCATATGTAGCCAGGCTAGCTTTGAGCTTCCCACAGTTGATACACCTGAACTTCCGATCTTCTTGCCTCCACTTCCCAAGTGCTAGAATTACAGGTGCATAGCACCATACCTGTTTATGGTGTCAAGGAACAAATTCAGGCTCTACATGCTAGGCAAGGGCTCTATAAAACAAGCTACACCCCAAGCCTACAAGCTACAACTTCTAGTCTAAAAACGAAAACGAAGTCATAAAACACACAAGAACCTTAAATGTGCACTGTCATGTCACAGAAACGAGCACGGTAAGTCTGTATGCAACAATTCCAACTAGCCACAAGGGCCTGTGTGGAGCAGTTAGCATTCACAAATTTAATTAATCATGGGTTGAAAACATCCATATTAGCAAGCCCATCATCTCATCAGTTTGGCACATTCCACAGAACTGGCCTACACAGAATGAACCCTAAAGTAAACTACACTGAGTTAACAATGTATCAACCCCAGTTCACTATTGTAACAGCCTTAACACTTCCAATGCCCGATGTCAGTAACAGAGGCAGGGGGATTAACTTTACATTCTGTTTACATTTTCCACAAACCACCTATCAATTAAAGTACAATAATTAAAAATATTAGAGGCAGACTCCGTGGAACATATCTACAATCCCAGTACTCAGGAGGCCAAGGTAGGCAAATCTTGCATTCCAGGTTAGCCGGGATAGGTATCAAAACTGTCATAGACAAACAATAAAGCTAGACTTTACTAAAAGAAAGGTCACTGTCTGCAATTCAAACATGACAACAGGGGCCCAGAGACACTGTGCTAAGGCAGTAGTTCGTTAATCTATATAGTTGACCTTAATAACAAATAAAATGTCAGCAGAAGAATGGACCTGAGACATTGCAATCCCACCCCCAACACCTTTTTTTTCCCCCTTCTTTCAAGACAGGGTTTCTCTATGTAGTCCTGGCTGTTCTGGACTCATTTTGTAGACTAGGCTGGCCCAAACTCACAGAGATCGGCCTGCTTCTGCCTCTGGAGTGCTGGGGTTAAAGGTGTGTGCCAGCACCACCCGGCTCCCCCTTTTATCTTTAAAAGTAGAATTTGATGGCAGTGCTACCTTGAAGCCATCTTTGATTATAAGCAGCTTTTGTTTTCACAGGTATAATTAATTAATAATTAATTATTAATAATAATTAATAATTAAAATTAGTTCAATTTGGGCCTGACCAAGTTAGTTTTGAATAATCAACAGTTTTAGGGACTTGTGCAGCCAAACCAAAGTAACTATGTAAGTTTTTGATAGAAAGAAGAAAAGAACCAACAATATTCTCGGAACAATGTCAGTCAGCACAATGAGAGTTTAGCAAATGTACAGTAAGTAATACTGACCTGCTTCTGTGAACCTTGACTTTCTCTGAGCTTACTTATTTTCTAACATTCTCATGGTGTACAACCAAAGCTAAACAACTTTAACATCTGTTTAATAGACAAGTTATTGGGTTTCACAAGGCATTCTCAGAGCTGAGTGTTAATCTATAGTGCTACAGTTTAGCCAGAATAGGTATATAAAACACCCATGTATTATAGCAAATATAATTAACGGTCTATGCTAAAATCCTATTTTCCCTGCTTAGTTATTAAAGAAATCTTAACACAAAAACCAGCTCTAGTTCCCAATGTTATTTATCTCACGAGAGAATGGCCTGTGTACTCCGAGGGACTCCAAAGATTTCTACCCTTGATTAATTCCTTCTGCGATCACTCACCTTCCATGCACTCATTCACAGACTCGTAGTCAGCATAAGTCCTGCCTTCTGGCCTCTTTGTAGGCTGTACCAGCAAAATGGTGTGAGACTGAAGGGGAAAAACAATTTCAATGAATAGCCTTATATGCATTTCAGAAATTCAAAACACAACACAAACCCCTCACACATGACACAAATGTTACTAAAACACAATTAACTAGGTTGCTCATTCCACAGTACAGATGCCTATGTCCAAGCATGTCATCAGTGCTGGGTCCACAACTCCCTTACTAAATCTGCCCCTAACTCTGGGTCATTTCTCAAACTCCAAATATACCTGCCAACAAGTACTAGCAAGCTATCTTGTACTCTCCCTTCTGTCTTTTTTTTTTTTTTTTTGGCCAACCTCTAACACCTGTTATCTGCCTCCACTGGTCTCTAGCAATATTAACTCAATAAATTCCAAGACACGAGGTGATAAAGGGAGAAAGGGGAATACTCAAATAACTGTTATCAATGTAAGATCTTTTCTGACTTGAATACAACCGTGGAGCCATATTTTACGCATCAAGGATACGATATAGTAGTAACATAAAATGTACATAGTAAATGGCACCTTAAAAAACTCCATTTACCTATTCACCTCCCAGGTGACTGGCCTGTAGGGGCTAGCTCATACCCATGTTATTTGTCGCACTGCAGGATCTGTGACTGTACCTGAGGAACAACAGCGACACTGAAGCTTCCCTCTCCTGCTCACCGGGGGGGTGGGGTGGGGTCAGTTGCTGGGTTTCTCTACCTCTCATTAGCCAAAAATGCCTCCAAATGTCCCTGGGAGATGAGGAGGAGTCCTATTGGAATTATGGCTGTATCTAGTGTCTCCCTTGCATGTAGAACGACTAATTAATTAAACAAATGCCAGTATGATGCAACGTCACTGCAAGCCCAATCCTCAACCAAACTGTTCACCTTGTTTTCTCTGCTTGCAAAACTAGTTCCTGGCTAAAAACTAAATTCTTATATCAGGATGGCCAAGCTGCTTTGAGACAATCCAAAAAGAAAAACAGTACTGAGGACCGAACTCAGGGCTAAATCCCCAACCCTTAGACAATCTAAAAATTTAACTATCAACAAATTGCAACTGAGACATTTGAGATCTGGGTTTTCTGGATAAAAGCACAAACAAAAAACTTTAAACTGCACATATCGAAAGAGCATTATATTTCACCCTCCCCAGCAAGATCTGAGTCATTTTGATTAAGTTTGAGAAGACTTGAGGCAAAACTCTAAGTTGGCAATAAGAGCAATATGTACGGACACAGTTTTGCCAGTGATTGGTAGCCAGAGAAACCATGGGATTAGGTTTGTTATAGAGGGGCTCATAAAAGGCCAGCTACTCAAAAAGCACTTTCAGTATGTCACGCATTGAGAAGAAAATAGTCTTATGGAAACCATATTTGCATCTTTTCTCGCCTTATTCTAGACAAGCTACTCATTCTTTGCCACATTTTAAAAAACTTAAGGCAAATTAAGGAATAATTTGAAAGAATAACATTTGAAAAGTGTAGACACACACACCTGCTCCAAGTATATCCCGAAAACCTCTCCCTTTTGTTTACTTAAGAGCAAGAGGACTGGGGTACTGGAGAGATGGCAAGCTGTTCTTCCACTGGACTGGTTTTCTATTCCCTGCACTCACATGGCCGCTTACAATCATTAGCAGTTTCAATCCCAGAGGAATCGGACGCCCTCTTCTGGCTGCCGCAGGTACTGCATGCAAGAAGCACACATCATGCAGGCAAAGCACCCACATACAAGAAACTAACAAAAAACAGAACCCCACAACTTTTAAGATCTCCCAAAGCAAAACAGCAATCATGAGAGGGCTGAAGAGACAGCTCAGTGGTTAAGAGCACGTGCTACTCTTACACAGGACCCGACTTTGGATCTCAGCACCCACATCCGTCGCTCAAAACCGCCCTCTCTAACTCCAGACCCTGGGGATCTCACACCCTCTTCCGGACTCAGCGGGCACCCGTGATGTGTTCACGTGCACAAACACAGGCACATACTTTAACTAAAACAAAACCCTTTACAGGACGTAAAAGCCGATTCTTACTACCATTCCTGTCAGGCACTGGGGCTAGGACCCTGGAGTTTTTCTTCATGCTCCACTCCCAAGAGAATGTAATTAAGAACAAGACTGAAGGCTGATGGAATTGCCTAAACGAGGCAACTAAGGACATTGAAAAAAAATATACTTTTTTTTTTTTTTGAAACACAGAGGTTGGGGGCGGCACACTGCAAAGCAAATCCGAGCCCCCCCGTCCCCACCCCAGGGCCCACATGCTGCGAATAGTGAGGTGACGGGTGTCAGTTTCAGGAAACGTCTCACACACGTTCCCCGGCCATTGTTCCTCCAGTCCGCCGGTGCAGCTTTAGAGAAAAGAACGGCAGCCCACGTCTCCCTCTCCCGGGCAGCGATCCGCTAACAGATCATCCTCTGCCCTCTGCACACCTCGCCCCAACCAGCAGGCGGGCGCGCAGCCTCGGGGCGGACCAGATCCGGGGCCTACAGCCAGGCCCCGCGTCCCAGCACCGGGAAGGGTCCATCCGCGAGCTGGGGTAGGGTGGGGGGGGGGGGGGGGGAGCAGCTCGCTCGCGCTGGATGAGCGGGGACCGCAGGGATGGGGAGATGTACGGAGCCGGGGTGGCCCTCGAAGTTGGGGACCCGGGCAACCGCTGAGGCCTCACCATCGCGCCAAACGCTTTGCTGCAGCCGCCGCCAACACCGCCGCCGCCGCACACGAGCTCAGCCTCAACGCCGCCAACAGCCAATCCCGCGAGAGCAGCCGCCGGAAGTGGTCGGAAGCGGGACACGAAAGAGCCTTTCGCCCCACAGAGAGGCACACATTTCCGGTTTCCGGAGGGGACCCTGACTCCGCTTCAGCCATCTTGGATGAGGGCGCCGAGGCGTGTAAGAGAATATTTCGCAGCTTTAGAAAGAACGGTTTGTTTCGGGATGCTGCCTTGTGTACTTCAGTTAACGGGCAGGCGGTTAAAGTGATGGAGAATGCCGCGGTGACACCGGTCGTCCTTTTTTAGCCTTTCTAAAAAATGGCGGTAATAGAAGGGCCGCGGTCTATAGGTCGGTTGTAACCCGGAAGTGCCCTGCTAAAGAGGAGGCGGTGAGACAATCCGGAAGTGGGAGTAATGAAGAGGTGCCACTTGGCGGCCATGGCAGCTGTAGTATGGGCGACTCAGGGTCAGGGCCTGGCTGAGGGAAGTACCATGGGCTACACCGGGTGTAGGGCAGAGACAGCGATGTGTCGACTTTGCTGTTGAATCCTCTGATCCATTGTTAGAGACTTGCGGGACAGCTTGCTCGACGGTAGACTCGGAAGGGAGTTTGCTGGGACTGGTGGGCTGGTCTCTTCCCTGGGGGCGGATCACCCGCGGAGCCACCCTAGGGAACAGGTACCGCCAGAGAAGAAGACACTTGGGTTTACCTCTTGTCCCTGCTGCTACCAGGGACATTGTCTAGGGGAGTGGGTCGTTGTGTCTTTCCGACAATTGAAGAGATATCTAGTCGCACAATTTCTCCCATCTGTTACCTACGGGAATCCCAGTGACTGGCATCTAAGAACCTAAGATTGCGCGAAGTTTTCTCTGGTGCTAGTGTCAGTAAGAAGGAGCTTGCTTCTTAAGAGAGCAGCGAGCTTCGTGAACACCCCGGCTGGTGGCAAGGCTAAAAGAAGTGGGAAACTCCCTTCTTCTCTTGGAAGACCACACGTTTAAACAGCCTAAGCGCCTTTTCAGACCGCTGGAATTTTGAAGCCCGGTGGTAGAGGGTGACTACAGGAGGGCAGAATGGATGACTTTCTCTCCATTAGTCTGCTGTCTTTGGCAATGCTGGTAGGATGTTACGTGGCTGGAATCATTCCTTTGGCTGTTAATTTCTCAGAGGTAAGAAATTCTCCGTTTTCTGCCAAGCGTTAGGATGGTGCTAGACTGTGTGATATTTGCAAAGAGAAGCTGTTTCTCCTCTCTAAGATCTCATTAAGGAAAATGTATGTAACATTTCACAGCAGAAACAAGCTCACGTTTAGCTTTGCAAGTCTTAACCGAGTGTGGTGGATAAATCATTCCCTGAGACCCTGGAGTCTGCACAATTCTATGGAAATTATATACAAAAAAATTGGGGCTCTGCATTTTCCTAGGGACAGGAACCGTAATTACATTTCTGATGATTCCCGGAGGTTTCAAGGAATCAAGGTAACATAAAAACAAATGGAGACTATTGCTTTGTCCATATGAGTTGAAATCTGTATAATTTTTGGAGAAAAATCATGAATGTTTTTGGAGGAAAGCACCAAAAGCACATTTGGTGTGAAAAATGAACTAAAGTAGGTTGTGTTTTGTTTTTTTCCAAAGAAGCCAAGGACTGGAATGGAATAGATATTCTGAGATTATTTTAAAATCTGTTTGCATAGAAATAAACTTTTTTGGCTGGGCGTGGTGGCCCACACCTCTAATCTCAGCACTTGGGAGGCAGAAGGCGAATCTCTGAGTTCCAGGCCAGCCTGATCTACAAAGCAGGACAGCCAGGGCTACACAGAGAAACTCTCTCTTGAAAAACCAAAAAAAAAAAAAAAAAAGAAAGAAACTTTTAGTTAATGTGTTTGGATGCTTTGGTTCCTTAAACAGAGGTTAGCAGAGGGAGGGACAAGATGTGCACATCAATTCTTTAAATTGTCAAAAGTTCCCTAGGTGCACTGTTCAAAATTTAGGGAGGAAAACCCCCATTCAATTTTTCCTCAAGATCAGCAGTAAAAGAAGCTCTTACCTCAATTCTATTCCTGAAAAGACTAATTTCCTCAAAGGAAAGATAAGGCATGAAGTTGGCTTCCAAGAGGCTGGGAACGAAAGGCATTGATGGTGAAGAGAATAGCCTGTGGTGGAAAGGGTGGTGAGGCTAGGCAGTGAGGAAAAGAGCCCTCAACCAGAAAGGCATTGCCTTGTCTGATCCTTTTCCATCTGTGCCCTTTGCAATCTGATGGTATTTAGTTTTGTTTGCTTATGTGTGTGGTTGTTTTGCCTACGTTTGTAGCCGTACCATATGTGTGCCTGCTGTCATTGGTAGCTGGAAGTTGCAGGGTCCTCTGGAACTGGAGTTACGAAGGGTTGTGAACCACCATGTGGGTGCTGGGAATTGAATCTGGGTTGTCAGAGTAGCCGCTGCTTTTAGCTCTTCAGCTCCTAATGATAACACTTTTTAAAAAATTATATACGTTACCTAATGTGATTCATTGGAAGGGCTGGTGTATAAGCCAAATAGCAGAGTTTGCCTAGAATATACAAGGCCTAGGTTTGGTTCCTAGCATTGACACAAACAAAACCCACAACAGACTCACTGAGCTACACTACAGACAAGGAAACAGAGTATCCTGGAATGAGCTTGTCTGACTCAGCCTCTGTCCATCGTGGCAAGGATACATAGTACATGTACTGTGTAGCTCATAGACAAATCCAGCACACAGACTTACTCTATAGGTTAGTGTTTTTAAATTTTTGTTACTGTTTGTGTTTTTGTTATTTCCTCAAGATAGCCGTTGGATAGAGCTGGGCAGCAGGTGAGGTCACAGTCTTCCTTCATCAATGAAGCCTTTCTTTTGGGTTACTTTGCTGCCTAGGCTTTCTGAGCCTATTTTCCCTCTAACATGTTTTCTTTCTTTTAAAATATTTGTTTATTTTATATGTGTGTTTTGTGTGCATCTGTGTCTGTGCACCATGTGTGTGCCTGGGACCCTTGGAGATCCCCCAGAACTAGTGTTGATAATGATGATCCACCATGTATGTGCTGGGAATTGAACTCAGATCTAGTGGAAGAGCAGCAGTGTTCTTAACCAGAGCCCCAATATATTTTCTTATAGTTGTGTTGGAATTGGATTGACATTATTAGGGTAACATTTGTGAGGCTTGGATTGGTTTGTATATTTAAATATTTTAACTGAGATAAATTTTATCTAGGTTTTTGTTGTTGTTTTGAGACAAGGGCTCACTGTATAGCCTTGGCTGGCCTGGAACTCTCTGTAAACCTGGCTGGCCTCAAACTCACAAGTCTCTACTGGCCTCTTCCAGGGATTAACGGTGTGTGCCGCCAGGCCTGGCTTAATTGGAGTAAAATTCAAGTAAGTAATTTATAGCTTGGTTTTTGGCTTCCCTTCTTTTTTTTTTTTTTTTTCTCCCATTGAGTTTTCTTTTTTCTCAGCTTGGTTCTTGATTTGTTGTTTTTTTTTTTTTGTTTTCAGTTTTTAGTTTTTGGAGACAGGGTTTCTCTGTGTAGAAACGGGCTGTCTCGGAACCCACTTTGTACACCTGCTTGGCCTTGAACTCAGAGCCTCTGCCTTCCAAGTGCTGAGATTAAAGGTGTGCATCACCACGCCCACCAGTTTTTGAAATTTTTCTTTGTTTAGGTGTTCATAGAATCTCTCTATGTAGCTCTGGCTGTCCTGGAATTCACTCTGTAGACCTAGCTGGCTTTGACCTCAGCTCCAACTGTTTCTGCCTCCCCAGTGCTGGGATTAAAGGCGTGTACCTCTGTGTCTGTCTAAAGAATTTCTCAGAGCAAAAATAAAGGCTGATGACTGATGGAACCATGAATTTTTATTGCATTAGTGTTAGAGTAGTCTGAGATTGCTGTAGCAGAGTCTGTTACACCTGACTCCCAGAAAGTATATGACGGTAATTTCCTCTCACTTCCTCCTCACCTGCAAACCACCATTCTCCATGTGTGGCTTTTTTCTTTGTCCTTAGGCCAGGAAACTGTAGCTTCATGGATTTTTGATTTAGGAAAAAAAAGAAAAATTTTAATTGTCAAATCAATTATATATAACTAATGACAGGGAAAATGCTAATTTTTCAGCATATGGGGAAATGAAAAACTAGACTTGTAAAGGAGGCCACAGCTCACTTTCCATAAATGAGGTCCAGTGTGGCATCTTGTGTTTTAGATTCAGTTGCTAAGGAGCCGTTTTCTTCTTCTGCAGTTGGTAACGGTGCTGCGGATGCAGACTGAACCAGTTTACCTAGTTTATACTCAGCAGCTGTCCTGATTGATAAGTGAAGTAGATACAGATGGCCAGAGTGGGATTTTAGGTCGACTGTCTGAGGATTATTTTTGTTTTAGACTTCCATTCCAATCCAGACCAGTATATTTGCAAAAGTGCAACGAAGTGGGGGGAGCGGGGGAAGAAAGACATAGCAAATACAGTCCCACAGGTGTTGTTATTAGAGTCAGCAGACTTACAAAGATTACTACCAGTCACTACTCCTGAACTGGTAGTAATCATATTGTTATAAAAGTTTCTGAAGACTTTCAGCTTGGGGACTTCTTGTGTTTGTGAGAGCAGTTTGAGTTTTCCTCTGTTGAGACAGTGAGTCCATAGTAGGCAAATGAGGATGATTTTAGAGCCTAGTTGGACTAACCACCTATCTCAGAGAGACTGACACACCAGAGCACTGGGTGTCATCAGGGCAGGTCTCTAATCCAGAGAGAGACCGCCACAGGAAGAAAGATCATAAATTTGAGGTCCAGCCTCTACTGCATAGTGAGTTTCTATCAAGCCTAAGCTAGAGAAACTGTTTAAAAACCAAAACAGGGCCGAACACACCAATTGATTATTCAGTATCATATGGCCAGTCCTGAAAACATACATACAGGCAGTGTCATACAGACTGAGCAGCTTATATCTGGGAATATGTATGTAAAAAGGAACTTTCATTCGCCTGGTTTTGTTGTTCTCTTGGAGTTTTTCTGCCTGTCTGCTAACCTAGGCCTAGAACGTTTTCAGCCTCTGAGACTTACTGCATAACAAGTTCATCCTTTTTTGTTCATACTGAGCTCTGGGCTGGCTGGTTCAATTCCACTGTTCTGGTTTAAACTTCTCTCCTTAGACATCACTTTGAGATGGAGGTGCTTCTACAAACTAACTTTACCTTCATTGCTTGGGATTAAAGGTATGTACCACCATTCCTGGATCTAAGCTTCTGTTTACTTGAAACTGGCTCTATACCAAGCTGACCTTGAACTCAGATCTGCTTGCCTCTGTCTCCTGGATTAAAGGCATGTTTGTATTTCAGCCAGATCACACAGACCTACATGATCTTTAGATGTGACCTCTTGCCAGCCGTATCTCGCAAACCTAGAAAGAAGGCTTTTGGATGAGATCTCTTGGCAGAACAGTCATGTTCTGAATTAAAATTCCTCTACATATTTATACATATATACATGCAATAATGGAAAAAGACATGAATTTGAAGAGAAAGAGAGGAGGGGTATATGGAAGGATTTGGAAGGAAGAAAGGAAAGAAATGTAACTATATTATCTCAAAAACAATAACAACGAATCAGTGTCATTGCTTTGATCTCACATTCAGATCTCATCGGTGCTAGTCTTAAAGGCTGTAGTAAGGATGAAATGAAAATAAGCTTAAGCTAGGCCTAGGACATAGTAAGGACATTTGAAAATGTGGTACTACTGATAAGGCCTTTTAAGATCTTTTTCTGATTTATAATTTTTTTGGGGGGTGCAGTGAACTTTATTGATAGTATTCAAAAGAGTAGAGCTCCTTGAGCTGCTCCCCTTCTTTTGGGGGGTCTGGGATGAAAATTGAGGGGAGATGCTCAGTGTTGGGGCCTGAATTGAGACAGGGACTCCTCAGCATCCAATGGCCTCTCTTCTCCCCTCATGTTCTTGCTGGATGTATATTCCAGGAAATGAGCTTTACAGAGTTGTCATCAAGAGCAGTGCCAGTCCACCATCACAGCTGGAAGAGTGGGTATCAAGGTTCAAGTTGCAGGAGACGCTCTTGTCCTTGGTGGGCCCTCTGCCAATGCCTGGTTCGCTACCTTCTTGATGTCTTTGTACCACCCAGCAGGTCTGATCCGGGGCAGACACATTGGT